GGCACCGTAGCCAGCCCGTGCCCCTTTAAGGGCTCCGGGGCCAGGAGGGGGGCAATAGAGTTTCCCTGGTGTTGGCCAGAGTGGCCACCAGGGAAAGCTGGGGAGGGCTAGCCTCCCACTAGTTTGAATTAAGGGGCTACACACCCCTTAATTCGAACTAGCTAGTTTGAACTAGGCTTAATCCTCGTAAAATGAGGTTTTCCTATTTCGAACTAAGCGCTCCGCTAGTTCGATTTAAATTCGAACTAGCGGAGCGCTAGTGTAGCGCCTATGAAAGTTAGTTCGAACTAACGTCTGTTAGTTCGAACTAACATTGTAGTGTAGACATACCCTAAGAGAACAGAGGCAGTCCAAGTGCTCCCCTATTAGGGGGGAGGGATAGCTTAGTGGTTTGAGCCTTAGCCTGCTAAACCCATGGTTGTGAGTTCAATCCTTGCGGAGGCCATTTGGGGCAAAAATTTGCCAGGGATGGTACTTGGTCCTGCTGTGAAGGCGGGGGACTGGACTCAATGACCTTTCAAGGATCCTTCCAGTCCTAGGAGATAGGCAATCTCCTTTATTAAAAGGTCCTTAAAAGTTTGCCTCTGCTTGTGGATCTTGATGGGTAAGGAAGATGGAGCAAGAGGTGGTGGATGTGCCATGTTTGCACCTGGCCTAGCTGTGAAGACAAGTGACAAAGACAGTCATCTCAGGAAATAGTGTGAATGAAGCCTAGCCCTAATCTCTGAGCCAACACTGAGGTCTCGGTTCAGATGATGGTGATGTGCTTTGAGCAAGGCAATCTGTTGCCTAGAGAGAAGGCACTTTCTTGCAGGGGGCATAGACATCACAGGGTAGCCTCACTACCCCCATGTACTACCCCCATGTGCTGGGGACAAGCAGGCATGGGAAGGTACTGGCAAGGACAGGAGCCTGCGAGTGGGAGGAGGGTGCAGGGCAGCTTGACTTCCCATTGTGTCCCACACAGGTCAGGTCTGGCAATCACTACATCCCACAGAAAGAGAACTTCTATCTTTGCCTGCTGCAGTGGGGGGAGGGAGCTTGGGGAGGTGTGTGCGAGCAGCAGACACCGCTTCCTGGAGAGAGTATTACTGAGGTCCCCTCCTGCACATCCCCCTGGTAGCTGGTAGCTGATTCCCATGACGGTAATCTGTCTTGTCCAAATCGCTGCACTTGACTAGGAGTGGATGCTACCTCAGAGTGTAGGCACGAGCTTGTGCTATGGGTGGCACTGATGTGTATTTCAATGACTCCATCCTTCTTAGTGGTGGCTTGTCATGGGAAGGTGTCCCACCACGGAGTTGGGAATAAGTCAGGACTATGCAGGAACCTTGTGAGAAGGAACGAGCGGTTCCTATGTGAGAGCCTCATGGAGCTGTCTGCACTGGTGCTCCATGTGCACAAGCTGTTGTGAGAGCCCTAGACCAAGAAGGTGGGGTGAGGAGGGTGCAGATCTTTGCTGACCACTTCCTACCCCAAGTGTGAATAAAGGAAAGTCGTGGAACTCACCTGAACTGCTTTCCCCAGGTTCATCTTAGCCCTGGGAGATATCCTAGGAGGAAGGAACCTGCTCTTGGCAGATGATGACTCCCTGGCTGATGGGCATTGTGTACAGACTGGCCTAATTCTCCTTCTCCTGCTCATTATCATTGCAGTCCTCTTCCACAACCACACCACCCCTTATGGAGGCTGATGACAGGAATGTCCTATTCAGAGTCGATGATGGACAGCCATGCATGTGGCTGGTTCCCCTCCCAGGATGGCATCCAACTGCACGTAGTAGTGGCAGCTGTGTGGTGCTGCCCAGGAGCATCTGCTCTGCTCCCTAGCCTTGTGGTAGGCCTGCTGGAGCTCTTTGATTTTCATCAGGCACTGGTGTGGCCACTGGTCAAGTGTCCAGCTGTGTCCTTTGTTGGCCTGGCTGATGGCAACCCGGTCATATGCTTCTGCATTCTTCTTCCTGGTGCAGAGACCCTGGAGGTTGGGCTCCTCTCCCCAGACCTCAGCGAGGTTCAGGATCTCCACACCGGTCCAGGTCGGAGCTCTCCTGCATCCCTGACCAGTGGCAGCCGAGGGAGCAGCAGTAGTGGTGGCAGCTGCGGGAGGATTTAATGGAGTGTAGGGGTCACTTACGGCTGCCTCGACTGCTGCTGTGTTGCATGGAGCTTTCACAGCTCACCACGTGGGACAAGCCCTTCTGCTGCTGCTGGGATTTTTAAGCTCTGCAGGTGGAGGAGAACAATGGAGAAGCCAGGTGTAGCCAGAGCGTTCAGAGCTGCAGCTGGGAGAGACTTTGGAGGCCAATTCTTTGAAATAGCAACACCTGAGCTTTCCACACTCTGGTTATTTCGAGGTAACTATTTCGAAATTAGTGTAATTCCCTAAGAAAAGCAGGAGCACAGATTTTAAAATAAGCGGCCTGTTATTTTGAAATAATGGGCTTGGTAATGTGGATGCTCTGCTTATAAATTTGACCTCGGGGGTTATTTCGAAATAATGCCCTAGTGTAGAACAAGGCTTAAAGTACTTAAGATTTTATACTGACCGCTTCGTGTTTATGGTGATGCTTTTACTTTGGTTACTTTGTCGGTAATGTCAACTTGCAGTCATGTCTTGTTATATAGCTTATAGCATTTTGAATATTAGAGCCTTCCAAGTACAGCTATCAAAACATTATATAAATGTTGTGCTTTGTTACTACTCTTCCCACCACTCCTTACCATTTTATGGTGTGATAAACTGAGGCATGGAAAAGTTAATGAGTGATTTGTCTAAGAAGTGACACGGGAAGTTTGGAGCAATGCATCTATCGTGCATTAGCACAGAACCCACTCGTGTTACTGTGGCCTCAGTTCAGCAAGGTATTAGCCTGACTTCAAGCATCTGAGTCAGTGGAGTTACTCTCATTTTTGAAAGCGTGTTGAATGATGCTCTCCTTGTCCTGTTTTAGTCAGTGTAAAATAATCCTTCTCTGTTGATCTCTTTCCTGCTAATCCACCAAAAATAAAAACTGTAAATATGTAAAAACAACGAAGAGTCTCTGAGCTGGGAGACATGCGATCTTTTGTGGCTGAAGGTAGGGATGTTAAATTTAGATTAATTGGCTAATTGAATAGTTGATGCAATTTGCATTGACTGTTGGATTAGTTGATAAGGGGGCCTCCGCCTTTGAAATGTAGCCCTGGGACTGTTGCTACACTTCAAAGGTGAAAGCACTGGGCCTTTGTGCTCCCCAAGGCGTTTCAAACCCGCAGCACTGCATGGAGCCGGGGGTTAGTGGGGGAGTCCCCACCTGACCCCGGGCTGCACATGGGCACATTGAGCCCAGGGTCTGGCCCCGGGCTCCATGCAGCGCTGCTGCTTTGAAGCATCCCGTTCTCTTCCCACCCCGCCCCCCCTTGCTGCCTCTTTCTGATAGAGGCAACAAGGTGGGGGAAGCAAGGGGGAGCAACTAGTCTACTAGTATGTTGACTATCCAATAAGCCAGGGGTACTCAAGCTTGTGATACCGCGACTCCCCTCTCAGTTGCTCGCGACCCCCCTCTCCATTGCTGCAACCAGCCTCTCAGTTCCTCGCAACCCCCCGAGGGGTCAGGACCCACAGTTTAAGAAACGGTGCAATAAGCATTTGCTTATTGGACAGTCGACTAGTTGTTCACATCCTTAGCTGAAGGAGTGGTGCCAACACGGCTACCTATCTGAGACTTATAAATATATAGCACTGGGGGTGATTTCTTTTTGTCCAGAAAAGCTCAGTAGGTCTTTGCACTGTACGCTTTGCAACATAAAATGTAATGCAAGATGGACTGACCCAGACATGTAGCAGGGATAACAGTTGTACCGTGTTACTCCCCAATTGATCAATATGTACGAGCATCTTGTACCCCCAACTTAGTGACCTCTGTATCTTTATACAAAAGCAGCTGTTATTTTAGTGGAACACTGGAGGTAGGAACTGGGTTTATTTGATTATTTATAATTTAATGACAGCGTGTGTGAAGTGCTAATTACAATATATCAGTAAATAATTTATTTATAACAGCCTCTTCTTCTGTTTAGCAGAGAGTAGGAGACCAAGATCAGAAGAGCAGGTCCCTCTGCATGAAGAATTTATTTACTGTTGTGGAGCTGCTACTCAAGTCTTAAAGTGTGGGCCTTGGAAAAACCTCTTGGAAACTGAAAGTAAAACTCTCCCGAGACTCTTATTTCTGATTATTCCAGGTAAGTTTAAAAAAAAATCCAATGCTGTCATGAAAAGGACACTTGGTGGGTGGTTAAAATTAAATATGACAAAATTATCCAATACATCACACAGGGAATTTGAGGTAGAGGCAGGAATAGAACCCAAACTCTTGATACTTTAATCACAAAGTCTTCATTCATTTGGTTTCTTAAGATCTATATTACAAGTAGTACTTTAAATGAATAAAACTGAAAATGTGCAAATTCTGATGTGCTTCTTATCCAGTTCACTTGCTTTCTGCATCATATTTATCTTGAATAGTTGAAGCACAGTGAGCAGTTTTGCTCTTCTTTCTGGTCAGTTTCACTTTGCAACTCTTGTCCTTTAGTATAATGTTACCTCATCAGCCTTGCACAAACGTCCAGTGAATCGTTAAAGTTACAGAGAAACGTTCCAACTGCAATTTAAAATAAAATAATTTCTTATTAGTTTTGTTATAGATTTCTTTAAAGCAATTCTAGATTTTGAGTCTAAACTACCCTTTAGATCAAATGATCTTAAAAATATCCAAGATTATTGCTCACATTTATTTATATTTTGTAGAATCAAAGTTGATAATACTTGCCAGATTAAATAGAATTAAGATTTAAGAGCCAAAATCATTGGTGGGAGTTTTGCCATTGACATTAGTGAAAGCAAGTGCTAGCCTCCAATGACCAAGTATACCATAACAATTATTATTATGTTGAGTGAATTCAATAGTGATTGCTTATGTTGGAGGAGGGGGCCATCTCTTTTGGTACCTTTTAACTCTATTCTCTCTCTATCACAGTACTGTACTTCAGAGTTAATGATCATTGCCTGAGAAACAGTAAGGCAATGAACAACCTTTGTGGTGTTCTACTTCCTTTTCATGTGTTTGACTAAAAAAGTTCTTAAATGTTCTCTAGGGCTATACAGTTATTCAGGGACAGATTAAAAAATGGTTAATTGTTTGGGGTATGGTGTATTTGGACACAAGTTGCATCATTAAAAATAGATGTGCTAGTCTTATTTCAGTGGTATTTGGCATCTTAGCATCAGGTCTCTAAATGTAAATTGTGTGAAATACACTGAATACAAATATATATTATTTCTGGACTGTGATTGGTGAAAAGCATATTACATATTTAAAAGTGTTTTAAAAACATGCCCTAAAATGTTATCTCCATTTCTACAGCAAAACAAAGCAAAGTTTAAAAAAACCAAAAACAACAGCCATGCAATTTCCATCATTTGAATCATATGCAGGTTCTGGAAGGCTCCCCTAGAGTTGTGTGTGTTTGATACTTCTGGGCATATCTCTTTGGGATTTGGGCACTATGTTTTGTGTGGCGTGTACTGGAGTTGGGAGATCATTTCGTTTTAATGCATCAGCTAGTGTTAAGATTTTCACTATTTAACTGATCATTGAGAAATAATGCTCCTAATGAGTAAAAATCAGCCCCGTGCCACCTTTTCAAGGTAACAACTGGTGAAAAGTACTAGGGATGTTAAATTGAGGTTAATCATCTAATCGAGTGGTCGATGGAATTACCGTGGACTACTCAATTAGTCGATACGGGGGAGGGGTGCTCTCTACATCCGCTGTGACTCTGAAGTTTAAATGCATCCCCCTCTCCCACTGCCTCTGACAGAGGCAGCGGGGGGAGGAAGCAAGTAGTTGACTCGACTACCCGATAAGCATATGAGAGTAGTCAACTGTTCCCTTACATTCCTTAAAAGGTACTAGGTAACATTAGTAAGGGTGGCAGAATCTGTTCCTACAGTGACCTCTGTCTGAGCAGACCTCCCACTGAAATCAGCAGAGCTCCTCAAAGGAACAGGATTGGGACCAAAGTCTGTAGCATGCAGTCTACTTTCAACACATGTAGTTTTGGAAAGATAAAAAGGTCCGTTGAATTAAATAAATGTTCCTTGTATATTGTTGATACTTTCCTAAACATTGCTCCTGCCTTCAAGTGGTGGAAAAGGGAAAAGAATTGTTGTTTGTGAAGCAGAGGGATGCAGCGCTATATAGTTTTTGAGAGATCTATTTTGCAGAAACTTTGTAACTCTTTTGACCAAGCAAACACCCGGAAGGAACTGAAGTGAAACGTTCATAGCAACATTTGGTCTTGCGGTCTGGGAGCCTTTACCAACAGTTGATTCACGTTTTTGCCATTTATTTTCTGTACAAATTGGAAGTTCCCCTGTCTGTGAAAACATTTTTTTTAAAAGAAACAGGCTGCTAAACAAGATTTGGACCAAAGAATAATGAACGATGGTGAGGGCATTTCCTGGCAGTCAGTAACCAGCTGGAGGAGCTGAGAGCCCTTGGCTTTCCCCCAGCCCCATAACCAGATGATTGTTTTTTCCGTTTTCAGTTTATAGTAGCAATAATGACCTCCTGGTTCCTAGCAGTTAACAAAGTACCTTCTTATGTGTTAAAGCGTCTTTCAATTTTTAACTTTTACCATAGATACAGTGATCTCTTTACAGTACTAGTCTTTGCCCTAGCAGTAGCAGCTGTAGAGTAACCAACCAAGATGCAATTCTGAAGATAAATTATGCATGTATTAATTTCTCTTAAGGTGATTGTCAATATTTTTTGACCTGGGAAGTTAAATATTGACTGAAGCAAAGCCAATGTCAAGTTTTTTTTCTCCAAGCACTCAAAAGTTAGGAAATGCTGGAATTAAGGTTTCCTGTGCAACCTTCTTTTGGTCCTCTTGTGAGAAGTATTATGATCGTCTTTAATTACATGGTCGTATACTCTTTTTTTCCCCCAAAGTTCTTTTTTCACCCCTGATACTCCCTTCCCCTTCAACAACAGTCCCAGCCCTGACTCCCCTGTTTCCATCTGTATTCCTTGCTCTTTCCCACTTCCAGCTAGAGCAGGAAATAGGTTCCCCCTCCCATGAAACTTTTAGAGATTTCAGAAATGTTTCCATTCTACATCAGAGTGAAACCAGAATTTTTCAGAGTTTTTCATGCAAAACCAGAGAGACATCTGCCTTAACTAGCCAGTAACCAGTGGGTGGGATGTTCAAATTCTGCTGCTTTCCCTCATCCCCGGTGAGTGCCCTATCCATCAGATATTCTGGCATAGATTTTAACCAGCAATTACATCCTGGACCTGGAAAGCCTTTCCCAATGGAAGTGTTGTCAAACCAGTTAATTCCCATGAAGAGTTTGGGATTTTAACAATTAGTATTTTATGATCAAAACCCAAAAGTTTTGTTTGGAAATTTTCAACCATCTGCATTATTGACTCCTTTTCTCACGTGCTCCTTTTCTACCCCTGTGCCATTTTCTTATCCCTATGCAAAGAAGTCATGATGTTTCCACTTCTCTGCCTGGCGGAGGGAGCACTGGTGCACAGAGTCGATAATCTGCCTGCTCTCAGTTCTTGTACCTAGCCCCACTCTGACACACAACAGTGGAGAGGAGCAATCATAGGAGGCCTACGCAGCCCTAGAATGGTGCATGCAACATTGTTTGGTTTGTGGGGATGGTGCTTTTGCCATCTGGTTAACATATAAAGGTTGTGAGGGAGATGGTGTATGCTTGGTATGGACAGACTCTTTAGACCTCCACATTCTTAATACTGAGCATATACAAAGTGCAGTTTTTTCAGTAGTTTATAACTAGGAATTATTTGGGTTCTTTCTTTTTTTAAATAAGGCCAAAATGAGGCACATCACTAAAACAAGCATGACCCTCGTGCCAAATTTCAGTTCCCTGCTGCAAAGCACGGAGACTCTAGAGTTTCTTTCCAAAACAATTGTAAGGTAGTTGTAAGAATTTTTAACATGGCCGAAACAATGTATTTCCCCCTCACCTTGTTTTTGAAAGCAACTGAACTGTTTTAGCTGAAACTTTCCAGAAAGTCTGGAAAGTGCCTTAAGCTGGTAACTAACATACAAAGTTTCGGCCCATACAGTTTTGCAATATTTTATATGTAAGCAACTGAAAATAATATTTTAATTTAAAGTGTTAGAAAATTTTAACTGTAGGTCTTGCTGTGTGAGCTGCATATAATAGGACTCCGTGTTATATAGATTGTTACATTCTGAATGTCTGTCCATTGACTATTTGCTAACACAGTGGGTCATTGGTGAAGAGAGAATGGGTTAATGCTGTTAAAATGTAAATAGGAATGCTATGGGTAACCAGTTAACTTGTGTGGAAATTCCACTGTGGGGAAATAATCATTTATCATTTTGCGATTCAAACAGTTTGCAAAAGCTAGAGGGAGAACAGTTAACTGTTTAAACAGAATTTTTAACCTTCTGTTTAACTGGTTAACTTTTTAATCAGGATTGTACATCCCTAATATAAAATCAAGTTTTAATGTTTTAATGTCTACTTAAAATATTAGAATGTTAAATGTTAGAAGTTAACTTTTCATCTCTTCATTTACTGCTATTCTGCAAACTAGGAATTTAACAGTGAAGGAGTTTAAACTGGTAACCGATAAGCATGAGCTTATTGCATACCAAAATGGGTACACGTGACTCCAGATCCAGCTCCCGGGGAGCCGGCTGCTGCCCTGCGCTGCTACCTCTGTACCAATAGCCAGTAATTTCTGGGAGCCAATAGCTAATTCTTGCTGGGAGCCGGTTTAATGTTCGCTCCCAGTGCACACTGGTTCTCAGGGATTTGCCTGCTGTCCCGTGTGTAACTGCTGACATTTTTCAGCGCTTACACGATTAGCTAATTATATACACTTTAACATCTCTTCTGCAAAGTAGATGTTTCATTTACTGGTTTTAACTTTGGAAAGTCATGTTCTAAAGCACTTTTTCTAAAAGCTTAGAACAGCTAGTATCTAGTAATATTTTCTTGGTAACTGATGTTTGTGCTGCCAAAAATGCAAATTGGATCAGGAACGTTGATCTACTTTTTATGGCGTTTACCTAGTGTTTGGGAGTCTGGGTTCAGTCCCCTGCTTTTCCATAGACTTTCAGCGTGATTTTGGCTGCCAAGTCACTTGAACTCAGATCTTGCAATTATG